CCTCTGTTTATATATAAAAGCTAAAATTAGACTAAAAATAACTCCTATACAAACTACAGTTCTCACATGTGCATGCCAAACATGTTACCCTTAGAAGGAGAGGTTGGGATGTTCGTATTTTGTAGGCATATTATGCATGCGCAGGCTGGTGCATCAAGGACTATGTCATTCAGAGAGGGATCCGTTTCAAGTCTCTTTCGGTCTTTGGGTGTATGGTGTAGAAATATAATAAATAACATTGTTCTTCTTCGATGATGTTGCAGAGAACAAGTGGTGAAGCGTCGTTGGAAGGGAATATTAGCATTTAAAGAAATTCGTCGTTTCTCTCCTTTTTTTCCTCGCTCTTATCCATATTCACCCCCACCTTGCTCATCTCAAGCTCAAAATTGATTCAAAAACTCTCAATCAGAGATTAGCTACTCGAATTCATTCTAAACATCCTTTGAGGCATGTAATTTTTTTTTTCTTTTTGGATTATACAATCAACTGATTAAAATTTTCATAAATAAAAAAAAAATCCTTTGAGGCATGTAATTTTTTTTTTTTTTTGGATTATACAGATTAACTGATTAAAATTTTCATTAAAAAAATTAAGAAGAAAATGAAGGTTCAAATTCTGTGTATATAAAGGAGAAAAGGCTTTTTTATTTTATTTTATATATATCAATAACTTAGCCCATTACTCTATACATCTTCTTCCACCTCATCTGGTTAATTAATTACACTTTCTCTGTTTGGTTTAGTAATCTGAGCAAAAGGAAATGATTAGTGATCAATCACTTGTTGGTTCGAAATGAAAGAGTTCGATTCTTCTTAAATAAAATCTTAAATTTGAATTTTATAAATATATAAATATGAAGTGGGAAAGTTTTATCCTAATGGGATATGTTATGAGTTGAATTCGAATTAATCAAAATCTAATGTGATTACTGAATAGTGAAAGGTTAATAAAAAAAAAAAAAGAAAAGAAGATAAGTAACTAGTGTTACATTTTTTACTACCAATATATAGTTTTTATCCAATAGAAGTAACTCTAACGTGGCTTCGGTAATTCCCATCTAAGCTATTTAACACCTCTTTCTTCTCCCTAAATTTCATTGCCAATCCCCCTTAGTAATCAAAACCACAATTATGAAGAAGTTAGCCTTGCCAGAATCCGTCAATTTCCCTGGAAAATCACCCCAATCCACCTCTGAATGCTGGTTCGACGACGCTTGTATTCTCGATATGGACTACTTTGTCAAAAACATATCTGGTATCAAGGCCAAAGGGGTCGGTCCCGACCTCATTGGCTCAATCATAGCACATTATGCATCCAAATGGCTGCCGGAGCTCTCCGGCGATGGGACAGACGACATCCAAAAGGGTCTCACCGGAGTTGAGGAATCGGCAGAGAGCGTAACGGCTTCATGGATGAAAAAACGGTTTTTTGTAGAGACGCTTGTGGGAATTCTGCCTCCGGAGAGAGACTCCATTCCTTGCAATTTCCTCCTGCGACTCCTCCGGACGGCCAACATGGTGGGGGTGGAACCGTCGTACAGGGCGGAGCTGGAGAAGCGGATTTCGTGGCAGCTCGACCAGGCGTCGCTGAAAGAGATAATGATTCCGTCTTTCAGTCACACCTGTGGGACTCTGCTGGACGTGGAACTGGTCATAAGGCTGGTGAAGAGGTTCACAGGCCTCGACGACAGCTCCAGAAGCGGCGCTGCCATGGTTAAGGTGGCAAAACTGGTTGATTGCTACTTAGCCGAAGCAGCTCTTGACGCCAATTTGAGCCTGGAGGAGTTCGTCGCCCTCGGTGCTGCTCTCCCCAGCCACGCCCGCGCCATGGACGATGGCCTATACCGTGCCATTGATACTTATCTCAAAGTAAGTTAATTATTTTTGTCTTAATTTTAATTCCTTCAGAATAATTAAAAAAAAATCCATAAATATATATGGTCCCAAACTCCCAAATGTTAGTGGAGAGTTCTGTGTTGTCACAAGCGAAAGATTCTTTCCTCTGAATTTTCAACAATAATAACAATAAGGCTCTGGTCCTGTCCTCTTCTATGGAGGAACCTAGAATCCTCTCTATTTGGATTTTCTGAATTTGTCCAGTTTCCTACATCCCGTGAAACGCTAGCTGTTTTAAACTTTTTCCCATTTTATGATTTTCAATTTTCACTTGAAAAAACATTTAATACATACATTTATTTATTTGATGTTAGTTGTGGTTATTGGTACGTACTCCTCTGTCCTACCAAGTGTTTGAACTACTTGACTTGTGTCATTAAGTCTCTCTACAATATTATTTATTTTTAATGATAAATAGAAGTCATTTCATTATTTAATAATTTATTTAAATTATAATATTTTTTTGAAATATAATGTATATACTTTAAATATCTTATGAGCAATGTAAAAATTAAAAAGTTAAAACTTTAATTTGACTTCTCTATTTTGATAAAAAAAAATTTTTTAGTCTCTCTATTTAACAAAACTTTTTTTTGTTTTTTTAAAATTTAAAATCTAACCCATTTTTAATTTATTTGTTAAATTTTGATGTTAAATAATAAAAATTTTAAAAGAATACCAAAGTAGAGAGTCAATTGAGGCTATTTTCAGTCTCTTTTTAATCCCTTTTTAATTCTTTTACTTTGAAAATTTTTGTCATTTAATATGTTATATATGCCAAACTTAATATAAAAACTAAAAAGGAGTTGAATCTCAAATTTTAGAAAACAAAAAGCTATTTTTTTAAGTAGATAGATTAAAAAAATATTTTTTATCAAAATAAAAAGATGAAAATAGAGATTAAACCAAATTATAAATGTTTGACCTTTTATAAAATTATTTAATTATTTTTAATAAAATTTTTTATAGATTAATTTATTAAAAATATTTTAATTTTTTATTGTCATTTTTAATGTTTTAAATAGAAGGACCTTATTCAATCTCATATCTTATACATTATTATTATTTTTTTTTAAGGCACATCCGGGTGTCTCAAAGCATGAAAGAAAAAGTTTATGCAGATTAATCGACAGTCGGAAGCTGTCACCGGAGGCCTCCCTCCACGCCGCTCAAAACGAGCGTTTACCCGTCCGAGCCGTGATTCAAGTCCTCTTCTCCGAACAGAACAAGCTCAACCGCCAAATTGATTGGAGCGGCTCGTTTAGCGGGGCCCGGAGTCCGAAACCCGATCCGCCGACCCGGTGCTTGTCGAAGCGCGAGATGAACGCCCAGCAGTCGGAGATTCGGAAGCTTCGAGATGACGTGCTGAGGCTTCAGAGCCAGCTGATGGCGATGCAGATGCAGATGGAGAAAGTGTTGGATAAGAAAAGAGGGTTTTTCCGGTGGAAGAAGTTGGGGATCATGCCGTCGTTTAAGAGTAGCATTAGTGTGTTTGAGAGGATTGAGGAAGAAGACGGCGAAGGGGAGGCAGCGTTTGGGAGACAGACGCCGATGGAGATGAAAGCGAGGCTGGTGCGGGGGAAGGCACCGCCAAAGTGGAGGAAATCCATGTCTTAAAAAGCTTCCCGGAACCAGGAAGAGACTGCCCAGGCTTTGGTGGATTAGGAGATTTTAATTTGGTGCTCAATAAATCAATTAGATGGTGCTTTTATTATGTTCTGTATTTATTTATTAATCTGTTTGTTTATGTTGATAATAAATTGATGGCATATGTGTTAAGACACAAAATAAAAACTAATTATGTGAATGATTTAGTCCCTCTCTTGAAGTCTTGGTAATATTAAGACATTTTGTACGATCGAATGAACTGATTGGATGTTCTTAGTAGTCAGTGACACACATTTTCAATACTTTAATTCATTATTATTCCATTTGTCCTAAGTAATGTTCTCAAAATAATTATTGTTTTAATTTTAAATTAATTATTTTTTTTTATTTTTCAAAGTATACAATTACTTTTTTTATATTTTATTATTATTCATTTATTTTAATTATTTATCTATTCTTTTAACGTGGACAATTATTATAGGAAAGAGAAATTTTGAAGTAATTAATAAAAATCAAACTATCACTCAATTGAATCTAAATATTAAGATTAAAAAACAAACTATTAAAGTTGTAGGGTTGATTTTAATTGTTTATCTATTTTACTTTTTAAAGAATAACACATAAATTGTTATCATATTTTTAATTTAAAGAAAAAGTAAAAAATACAACTATTTTGATACTAAAAAAAGTATATGTTGATTTTTAATTTATATTTAATTTTTAATGTAGATGAAAATGCATACTAAATTTAAAATAAATTAAGGAATATAATTATTAGTTAATATAAAAAAGTGTAATAGTAATACCACAGCACACGAATTGCTAAATATTTGACTCATTACTAATCTTAGAAGCAGGACGAAAGCTAGTTTGCTCTACAGCTTTCTCTTGACTCCATACACTATTGTGATGCTATGGATCACATAAATAAAAGGAGCAATTTAATTGAGAGTTGTGATTTAAGTTAGTAAATTTATTTTTTTAATAAATATCTAATTTTTAAAAGAAATTAAGAAAAAAACTTTTTATAAGTTTTTTTTTTTAAACAGATTTTACAAGGAATTGGGTTTGAAACCCAACCCTGAGAGGGAAAAATGCACCGTGGGTGATTATTACCACTTAACTCGGAGGACTCGGTTTTTTATAAGTTTTTTAATATTAACATAAATCTTAATTTTAGTTAAACTTTTCAAAATACGTACAACCTGATCCTACACACCTAACAGCTAAAAGATAAGAAAGTAATGTTATAAACTTGTTTAGACTGAAAATATGTTGGCGATTTCTTATGATAACCTTTTACGGGTGTCAAAAATTTAATGGACGAGAATGTTTGACTTTCGGTTTAACAGGTTCACGTGAGTTGGTTGTTCTTCATTTTCAAGGGCCCGTTTTTGTTTCGTTAATTAACCTAACAACAAGCAAACCCAGAATCCTGGGTCCCAAACAGAAAAAAAGCCGAGGGCCTAACCCCTTACAGAAAGTGAGTGCATTCTGAACTCCCCAAAGCGAAATCCTTGTTGGCGCAGAAGATAACCGGTTGCAATAAATATACTGCAATAAATATAGACTGCCATACACATTTAATAGGTATAACAACAAATTCAAAAAAAAAAAAACATAATTATCATACATGTTCGGATTGGGTTGAGTTAGATTGTGTTATTGAATTAGGTTAGGGAAGGCTGAAATTGAAAAAGGAATTAGGCTGGATAATTTAGGTTGAGTTAAGTTAATCAATTACGGTTGGATGAGTAAAAGTTAATTGGTAATATATTTAAGGGATAATACTGATCAACTTTACCTTTACAAAATTAAAAGAAAAAACTTAATAAAATAACGTCATTTTATCTGTTTTCGTTTCATATGCATTGTTTTCGTTTTCTTTTTTTTGGGCAACTCCTGTTTATCTTGTTTTCACAGACAACCCTAATTTCTTAGATCTCCAGTTTTTTTCAATTAATTTCTTTTTTTTATTTCGATTTACTTTAAATTTTGATTAATTATGGGTGCTTGAGAGATGCAAAGAAGAGTTAATTGTTCGGGGTCCTTTTGACTAATTCTTTACCATTGTCTTCGAATCGATTCAGTGAGAAGGTCTAGCTTTTTGTGCGCTTGGGGCTGCACTTGAGGCAGTGAGGAAGATTCAATTTTTTGTGCGCTTGGGGCTGCCATTTCATTGCTTTTTCGTGTTGTGACTTCCACTTCGTGAAAAAAAAGAAGAAAAGCAATGGATATAAGATGAGAACAAATAAAAGGACATCATTTTATTAACTCTTACTTCTTAATTTTTGGAAGATTAACCGGCATCATTATCATATATTTATAAATATATATAAGTAAAAATTTATGAGGTTAGTATCTAATATCTATTAGTTTTGAATTTATATTTAGAAATTGAAATTTTAATTTAAAATTAAAAAATTTTATCAAATTTTAAATTTAAATATTAATATTTAATAAGATAATTTTTTACATTTTAAATTAAGTTTTTATTAAATAAAATAACGTAATTTAAAATTAAAATTTTAATTATTTTTTGGAG